ATATATATATATATATATCCTTATAAATAACATTTGCATTAAATACAAGAGTTACGTCCGAATTCTATTCATACATTTCACATTCTTACTGTATAGAGTATAGTTTTCTAACGGCCGAGTAGTGTGTTTAAATTCATATGCAGCTTCTAGGCGGTTTCGGACGCAGCCCGGGACTCTTATTTTGTTCTGGCGACATGACGCCAAATGGCAGCGCCGCACTCCCGCATCTCAAGGTTTGTTATTTACGCATTTATTTTGAATCCTCCACTATTCCCAATCTGTATAAGCGATTAAAATGTTTACTATTACAGAATGCAACATTGTTAGTCTTTATCTCAAATTAATGTAGGATGACTGAGTTTGAGTCAAACCAAATGCGCGTCTCTGTTCTGCATCGTCTGTCAGTTTATCATAAACAAGAATTCAGTTCATGTTTATATTAATAAACAAGAGTGTCGACACAAAACAAAAGCAATACATAAAAGGAAAATAAAGAAACATTTGAGTACATTGAAAAATAAGGATGTTGTGGGCTCTTAAGAATGAATACACACTTTGTCACGTTAAAATGCTTAGTGTAACATAATTTCCATCGAGGAAATAAATAAAACACAAAATAAAAATGTATCCCTCGTTAATATTTTATTATCAATAACTATTTTTGTAGCTTAACATGGTGTGGTTTTCGTAGATTGACATCGCTTTGGCTTATTTCTATGTTCAATTTGACAGAAATTATATGTTTAAACCCTGTAATCTTTACTTCGGACAGATTACACAAGTGCCAAGAAGTGTTAAGGAGAGAAACGGAGTTTTCTAACCGCGAGTCAATTGAATCAAATGATTCACAAAGTGATTCAGTGTTTTGAATCGCTAATAAACAACAGACGCTGACGACACCTGCTGGTCTCCCTGCTGAAAAATCCAGCTTAAACCAGCCTAGGCTGGTTGGCTGGTTTTAGCTGGTCGACCAGGCTGGTTTTAGAGGGGTTTTGGCCATTTCCAGGCTGGTTTCCAGCCATTTCCAGCCTGGTCTTAGCTGGTCAGGCTGGAAAATGACCAGCCAAATCCAGCTAAAACCAGCCTGACCAGCCTGGTTTAAGCTGGATATAGCTGGTTTTGGCTGGACTCCTAGCTTGACTAGGCTGGTCAAGCTGGGAGATGACCAGCTAAGACCAGGCTGGAAATGGCTGGAAACCAGCCTGGAAGTGGCCAAAACCCCTCTAAAACCAGCCTGGTCGACCAGCTAAAACCAGCCAACCAGCCTAGGCTGATTTAAGCTGGATTTTTCAGCAGGGCTAGCATACATTCGATGGATAATGGGACCCCACAGGGTAGTGCATGCAGTCCAGTGTTATTTAACATTATGATTAATGATATATTGGAAGCGGTTGGACAAGAAATAGGCAAGTCTTTATATGCAGATGACGGTGCTTTGTGGAAAAGGGGAAGAAACTTAGAATATGTGAAAGAATGCAAAAAGCAGTTAATGAAGTGGGAAATTGGGTAAATAAATGGAGCTTTAAATTGTCTGTAGAAAAAACAAAGTGATGTGTTTCTTAAAAAAAAAGGAAATCCCCAAATATCATAATAAATATTTATGGGCAAGAGTAAATAAATCAGGTTCCTAGGAGTATGGATAGATTCAAAACTTACATTTACAACCCATCCCTGCTGAAAAATCCAGCTTAAACCAGCCTAAGCTGGTTGGCTGGTTTTAGCTGGTCGACCAGGCTGGTTTTAGAGGGGTTTTGGCCACTTCCAGGCTGGTTTCCAGCCTAGTCTTAGCTGGTCAGGCTGGGAGATGACCAGCTAAAACCAGCTTGACCAGCCTAGCCAAGCTGGGAGTCCAGCCAAAACCAGCTATATCCAGCTTAAACCAGGCTGGTCAAGCTGGTTTTAGCTGGATTTGGCTGGACATTTTTCAGCCTAGGCTGGTTTAAGCTGGATTTTTCAGCAGGGATATAAAGAAAATACAAGATAAATGCAAAAAAACGAATAAATATCCTAAGATGTTTGGCGGGAGTAGAGTGGGGTGCTACCGGACATGCATTAAAAAGAGTATACTGTGCTATGATAAGGGCAATTTTAGATTATGGCAGTATAGTATATTGCTCGGCATCCAAATCTCAGTTACAAAAAATTAGCGTTATTTAATCACAAGCAATAAGAATAGGAAGTGGAGCATTTCGAACATCGCCCATTCCAGCGATTCAGGTGGAAACGACAGAGCAACCAATAAAGTATAGAACACTTAAGCTGAAAATAGCCTATTGGAGCACTGTAAGAGGGCATGCAGATACACATCCAGTAAAAGCAGTAATTAAAAAGGGTTGGGAACATGAATATAGCAAGAACAGGAGTTTCGGGTGGAATGCAGAATTGGAGGCCAGGAAACTAGGATTGGATCAAATAAAAATAGGACCTACATTAACTATACCAGATACACCTCCGGATGTTTCAAGTGCCACAAGTTGATTTACAGATACACAGTATAATTAAGGATAAGAACAGGAGTATGTACAAAGATAATCTAGTGCGACGATATCTAAAACAAAAATATTTCAATTATACACAGATATATACAAATGGGTCTAAAAATCCAGACAATGGTTATACAGCAGCAGCTTTATATATTCCTAACAATAAACACAATGTTTCAATGAGGTTAAGTAATCATATATCAGTTTTTTCAACAGAATTAATGGCAATATCAATGGCAATGCAGTGGGTGGAAAAAAAGAGTGGTGGTGTGCTCTGACTCATAAAGGCTGATTTATACTTCTGCGTCAAACACCGGCGTATGCTACGGCGCTGACGCATAGCCCTTCGCCGTGGCCATCGCCGTCACTGACGTGCACCTCTCAAAAAATGTAACTACACGTCGCAACGACGCGTAGCGTAAGCTCTGTGATTGGTCGGCTTGGTAGCGCTGACGAGTCTGGGCGGGACCGAGAGCCGCGCGAGCGATTGTTTACAAGTGTGGAGTCCCGTGAAGGAGCTCCGGATGGAAAGTTTTGTTTTGTGTTTACCTCATAGTTAAAGTTGTTGCACGTCCGCCGGTTCCTGCCTCAAAATGAGCGAGTTTGAGCCACTTGTACATCCCGGAAGTGTTCAGGAAAAGCAATAAAGTAGCGAAGAAACTCGACACAGAGGAACATTTACACCTCACTGCCAACTAGCGTTTCAGAAGTGTTAATGTAGACCGACAGAGACAGTGCGCGGAAGTATAAATGCACAGCCACGCGCGTTGTCTGCGCCGTGCGTTACGCCGGTCACCTGACGCAGAAGTATAAACCAGGCTTAAGGCTGATTTATACTTCTGCGTCAAACACCGGCGTATGCTACGACGCTGACGCATAGCCCTTCGCGGTGGCCATCGCCGTCACTGACGTGCACCTCTCAAAAAATGTAACTACACATCGCAACGACGCGTAGCGTAAGCTCTGTGATTGGTCGGCTTGGTATCGCTGACGAGTCTGGGCGGGACCGAGAGCCGCGCGAATGGCGTGAGCGATTGTTTACAAGTGTGGAGTCCCGTGAAGGATCTCCGGATGGAAAGTTTTGTTTTGTGTTTACCTCATAGTTAAAGTTGTTGCACGTCCGCCGATTCCTGCCTCAAAATGAGCGAGTTTGAGCCACTTGTACATCCTGGAAGTGTTCAGGAAAAGCAATAAAGTAGCGAAGAAACTCGACAAAGAGGAACATTTACACCTCACTGCCAACTAGCGTTTCGGAAGTGTTATTGCAGACTGACAGAGACAGCGCGCAGAAGTATAAATTGCCTGTGCCGTGGGTTACGCCGGTCACTTGACGCAGAAGTATAAATCCGGCTATACTCAGCACTACATTGTTTAAATACCGGACCTTTAGAAACACGGATCTATTAAATGAAATATTTCAAAACATATATAAAATAAACCAAATAGGAATAAGAGTAAAAGTTTTATGGATCCCTGCTCATGTAGGAGTAGAAGGAAATAAAATAGTAGATAAGATGGCAAAAACAGCATTGGGGAAAGATGAGGTGGATATTGAGATCCCGCTATCCAAAACAGAAATAAAGCATATTATAAATATATCAGTTAATAATCTTTGGCAAGAGAACTGGGATTCAGAATCAAAAGGAAGACATCTGTATAATATACAAAATAAAGTGGGGAAAGAAAGGAAAGTATATGGGAACAGATAGGAAGACACAGGCATATCCAGACTTCGTATAGGTCGTTCCAATTGAAACAGTTCACTATTCAACATAGGGAAAAGGGAAACAGAATGCTGCAGACATTGTGGACAAATCGAAACCACAGAACATGTATTAATCAAGTGTACAAAATATAGAAGAGAGAGGGACCAGTTTAAAATAAAACTAAGAGATTTGGACATGACTGACATTTCAATCACAAACATTTTTCAAAATGCTCAGAAAGAGACTAAGGTATGTGATTTTCTGTTAAAAACTTTGAGGAGTACAGGTTTGTTTTACAGGATTTAATCGGAAAGAATTATTATTTGTTTATTTTTATTTATTACGAATATTATTATTATTTATTTATTATTTAAGGAATATATATATATATATATATATATGTATATATATATATATTTTTTTTTTTTTTTTTTTTTTTTTTTTTTTTGAGAATATAGTAATCCTTCCATTCATTGAAGTCTCACACTCCAACACAGTAGGTGGCGGTAATGCACCTCAAGCTGGTTTGCCACCTGCCATTAAACGAAGAAGAAGAAGACACCTGCTGGTCTAACTTTTATGCTGTGTTCTAGGGGTGTCACGATTTTCGATTTTTAATCGAAATCGATCGAAATTTATGCTCAACTTCGATTATCGAATCAAAAAATAGAATCGTCGATGCTGCCACGCCCCCATGTCACATCAGCTTGGCTTGCCAAGCGTGAAAAAAACAGGCTTGTTGAACTGCAGATACAGGAGACCCGTCGACAGAACTTAAATCCTCTCCTCTTTCAATGAAGTCGCCGGTGTGTAAGCATTTTGGATTTCCAGTGAGTCATGTTGACAACGTTCGTGTTGTCGACAAAAAAAACCACACAGTTTTGCAAGCTCTGCTATGTACGTATTAGGGTTCGTCCGATAGACAACACCGGCATCGCGATCCTCCGCCCGCCCCCGTTGCAAATCCGCTCGCGAAAAGTACACACTCAGGCCCTGTTTACACTGTCTTTGTTTATAAATGCAATTTTAGAACGACAACGATTTGACATCCACAGTGGCGTGTAGCATTTCTGAGCAGCCCTCCTTCCTCTCTACCTCTGAAAATGCACATCACGTGACCACACAGACACAGACGCACTCACAGCCATGCGCTCGAGACAGCAGGTCCAGGCAGTCAGAGGACTGCTTCAATCTTTCACTCACTTGTACTTAGTCATTTTAGCGAACACCTCAGATACTGTTGGCTGGTTCCTGTTGGTTGTGCGTCTTTTTTACCGACGCCATTATAACGACACAGATCACTGCCTGTTCACGAGTCCCGCAGAAAAAAGTGATTGACAGGTGGTAATTATGTGTGTAACTTACCTTTATTCATTTACTGTATGATTTGTTTATGGGTAAAACAAAGACCATGCAGGTCAGGTAGTTTAAACGGTAGGCTACAAATAATTAATTGGTCATTAATTAATTATTCATAATCGAAAATGTAATCGAAGCGAGAATTTGGAGGATCATGACACCTTTACTGTGTTCACACCAGACGCGGAACACGCGGATAAATCATGCTATTCGCGTGTAAATAGCCGCGTGAACATTTCAGGTTACTCGCTTCATTCGCGCGTCAAATTCACTTAAGAACAGACGCAGATTCGCGTGATGGGCAGGGCTTCTGTCTGCCCGGTGACTCTAGCTTCATAGCTAAATGGCTAACATGGATTTTATGAAGAAAATAAAAGTGTTTATTTGCTTTATGAAGACTGAAAAACAGCGTCGATACGTTTAGGGGCGTGTCTGAGTCCACTACATTTTTTCAGAGGTTCATCCAGCACTGTGAGCTCATAAACTCCTCCAGAAACTTAACCTGGATGACGGAGGCTTTCAGCGGTGCTTCTGACTGAGCCAAGCCCAGTTTGATGAACAGGTTCTACGTCACAATCCCTCAATCCCACAATCCCCCACAAGAGCAAGCTTCTGATTGGTTAACAAGGCGCGAATGTACGCTGAAGTTCAGATTTTCGAATTCGAGAGATTCGCATGAAACGCTCATTAAACGCGTCAGACGCGCAAAACGCTTAATTTGCCCCACGCCATTCGCGCAATTTGCTTCATTTGCGCCGCGCCATTCGGGCGTATCGCGCCACAGGATGTCTATTCGCGCGTTTGCATTGTCTTAACATGTAAATCACTCACGCTTGACATGCGTGCCGCTTCTGGTGTGAACGCAGCATTACGAATGTCAGACATCTCAAGTCTCCCGGAAGTTGCGGGAGTATCCCTCAAATGCATAGACACTCCCGGATGCCCACAAATGAATGATAATCTCCCGGAAATCTCGCGCTTCCTGCCCGGTCCTTAAATACGTTGCACACCCCTCTCTCCACCGCATCCCTCGTAGCTCTTCAGGTAAGTCGCGCGCAACTCACCCCCACCACTCTTCAGGTAATGTTATGTCATGTCGCGCGCGCAACTCCCACCGCTCTTCGGGTACGTCTCGCGCGCGCACGCCCCCCTAGCCAGATACGTCGCTCACCAAAGCACCCCCCCCCCTTTTCTTTCTCTCTTCAAACAACCAATATCCTGCTACCTCCCGCAAATCAACTCTGTATCCCCCGGAAATGACTTTTCCCAACTTGGGATGTCTGAAATGTGTTTGATAAAGGGGAGTCTATTTACATATAAATTTATTAAATATTCTATATAATTATTGTGATATTATTCATACATTTCTGATTTCAAATTTTAAACTATTCTCCTCTTAAACCCTCAGAGAAAACCCTCATGAAGCGACTGGGATGCTGTTTTAAAATGGCGGTTATTAAAGAGGAGAGCGAAGACCTGAGGATTGCTGAAGTGTTCAGCCTCAAACAAGAGGACATTGAGGAACAAATAGGTTGGTTACTTTGAACATTCGTTAACACACAAATTAAGAGAAAGTAATACAGAAGTTGTTTAATCAAACATAATGTAACACACAACCCAAATTTTACATGAATTAAATTAATTAAGAATTAAGTGTGTGCTTTGAAAGGCTTATGCTCTGCTTATTTTTGTTTTTTATCTTGTTTGTAGTGCTCTCAAACATTTATGTACGACAAAAAATGAGTTTAAAAAATGTTTTATTTTCTTTACTTCTCATACGTACCATTATGTTACGTTATGGTAGATATTAAAGGGTCACGAAACACCAAAACGCATGTTTTAAGATATTGACAGTCATATATGTGTTCCATGTTGTTAAAAACACTATTAGGACACATACATTTCACAAAAAGGCAGAGGCTCCAGTTGGTATTAATTGTCTCCTTTCTACAGATTTGGCAAGTGTGTGATCAGTGTTCTTTGTTCATATTTATTTAATTATTTAATTTAACTGTGCAGATTGATCGATGGCATAATCTGGAGGCCTTTGCCTTTCATATTAGCCACTTCTGATACCAAATAACCAACTAGAAGTCAAGTTATTACTTGTTCCTAAAACCTGGATAGACGACAAGACTTTTATCAGGTAATGTATTTCTATTAAACTGAGGTTTGTCTTTTTCCCGCTTTTAGACCTGAAACCCTTGAACGAAGAGATCCAAGAACCAAACGAAATAAAAGAGGAGAAAAATCAGTTGGAGGAACATCATGATTTCATAACGGTAGAACAAAATAGCTGCTCACCGACTGATGAGAGGACCACCCGTGAAACATCCCAAAATACCAACAGTGGCTTCAGCTGCCAACGCTGCGGAAAGAGTTTCGTTAAAGAAGGACATCTTAAAAACCACTCTAGAACTCACACCGGAGAGAGCTCTTTTACCTGCAAACAGTGCGGCAAAGGCTTCACGCAGAAAGCCAACCTCAGAAACCACACGAAACTCCACGCAGAGGAAAGCGCTTTATTCTGCCAGCAGTGTGGAAAGAGATTCAAGCTGAAAAAAGATTTCAGGCGGCACATGAGGGGACACTCTGGAGAAAAGCCTCACAAGTGCCTTCACTGCGGGAAGAGTTTCATTGACAAATCATCAGCCAACGTCCACATGAGTGTTCACACAGGAGAGCGTTCGTTTGTGTGCGCCGCATGCGGAAAGAGCTTCGCGAGTAACGCAAACCTCATCAACCACAGGAAGATTCATTTAAAGAGAGACGTTTTATCTGCCGTCAGCGTGGAATGAGTTCTCCAGACGCTGATCTTCTGAAGGCTCACGTAATATCTCACGTCGCGGGGAGATCTTTCATGGGTCCTGAAAGAGTTGCGTGTAGAGATCGAATCTTATTCACAGCGGAGAGAAGCCATTCTGAAAACCCGCATGAGGATCCACAACGGAAAAGAGCCGTTCACCTGTACCGACTGAGAGAAGAGCTTCAGGGTTAAAGGAAACTTAAAGAATCACATCAGACTTCACACTGGAGAAAAGCCGTACACTTGTACGCAGTGTAAAAGGAGTTTCAGATATCGGAGAACCCTAAAAAAGCATTTACAAACTCACAATAAAGACGATTCACTGTAGGGTTTGGAAGTGATTTCTAAAGTCGTCTGAGTGGGAAGAGAAATATTTGCAGAGAAACACTCGAGTAATTTTAAATGTTTAGGAGTTGTTTACTTACGGAACCCCGGAAGGGACGTAGTGGAGGAGAAAAAAATGGTCTGGGTGAAGAAAAAAAAAATAATGGGTGAAAGAAAAAAATGGGTGGGTGGAAAATATATATTTCTAAGTTTTTGCGTTCTCTCGCAAAGTTTTGCGTTCCCTCGCAAAGATGTTTTGCGTTCCCTCGCAAAGATGTTTTGCGTTCCCTCGCAAAGTTTTGCGTTATCTCGCAAAGATGTTTTGCGTTCCCTCGCAAAGATGTTTTGCGTTCTCTCGCAAAACTGTTTCTCAGCAAACACTTCCTGTTCACTTCCTCCCGTTTTTGCTGAAATTCTCCCATATTTTACCATTTTATCCCACTTTCTTTACATTACTGTGCGCTGATCGTCGCCTTTCACTTTGCAACCTCTGAATCAGTGAATGCATGTTTAAGCGCTGACTGACAGACGCGCTCCGTACAATAAACTGATCCCAGATCAGCGTCTGTACGCGCCATTTAAAGGGACACTTCTGTTATCAAACAAGTGAGCAGCAAATGAATCTCATGTTTTGTTTAGTTTGATAACAGAGGTGTCTCTGTAAGAATGCACAGATCTATAATGAAAGCAGTCCATTACTTTAGAAACTGTGCTCATTTAAGAGAAAATAAGCAGTTTAAAATAAAACATACAGGACGGAGATGTTTCATATTATTCAGTGTATTTGTCTGTTTAAACATACACCCGCTCCTCTGTAAATGGCGTGTACAGACGCTGATCTGGGATCAGTTTATTGTACGAAGCGCGTCTGTCAGTCAGCGCTTATACATGCATTCACTGGTTCAGAGGTTGCATACGCACAGTAATGTAAAGAAAGTGTGGTAGAATGGTAAAATACGGGAGAATTTCGGCAAAAACGGGAGGGTTTACGTGAGTGCAGTGAACAGGAAGTGTTTGTGGAGAAGTGTTTTGCGAGAGAACGCAAAACATCTTTGCGAGATAACGCAAAACTTTGCGAGGGAACGCAAAACATCTTTGCGAGGGAACGCAAAACATCTTTGCGAGATAGCGCAAAACTTTGCGAGAGAACGCAAAAACTTAGAAATATATATTTTCCTCCCACCCATTTTTTTTCTTTCACCCATTTTTTTTATTTTTCACCCAGCCAATTTTTTTCTCCTCCACTACGTCCCTTCCGGGGTTCCGTACTTACTTCTGTTGAACACAAACCGGAAAAAAAGTCATTAACATCCAGTGTTTTTTTTTTTTTTTGTCTCGATATATATATTTTTTTTGCTGGGCGATATATTGCACCCAAATTAATTGCGATAAACGATATTATTGTCGCTTTTTAACATATAACTAATAACAAATAATACATTTTTGTGTCACAATAGAATTATTCAGGCACGCTGTTTTAAAGAACGTTTTATTTTTAAGAATATTTAGGTTTGAAATTGAAACATGAACAAAAATATCCTAAAACAAATTGATAATAAGTAGTAGATGTAAACAAAAAAAGTCTAAGTAGACTTTTAAAGCATCTCAGTCGCTATTTTTTTTATAATCAGACAGATTGCAAGACAGGACTGTTTGTTTAATGTTTGCAGCATTTTTTTTCTAAATGCTAGTTTCTTGAACATGTTTAACAGCTATATCTCTTTAGCTAAATTATGGTAACCGTTTGTGAGTGTGTGTCATTTTGCGTTGTTTATATTTGCACTGGCGCAGTGTTGCCAACTTAGCGACTTTGTCGCTAGATTTAGTGACTTTTCATACCCTCCTAGCGACAAATTTTCAAAAAAGCAACTAGCGACAAATTTAGTGACTTTTTTTGTGCTACTGGAAGTTTTTTTTTTTATTGGAAGAATATGTACAATTACAGAATGTTTGCAAATATATAAAAAAGATTCTCCACATTTTACTTATGCAAAAAATAAATAAAAGAAATAAAACAAAAAATTTCCTTCTATAATTATTAGGTACAAGTGATTATATTACAAGTACATGTCCATATGTATATATACACACACATACACACGTACATACAATTTTTCCCTTGTACTACTAACACAATTTACAGAGTCTACATATGAATATGTAAATCATTATCTGAAAATCCAGGTTTGAGTATACATCAAACAGAATTTAGTAAAACAAACTTGGTATAAGACAGGCCCAACTGGCCTTAGCTGACTAACAGGAGCTTAAGTGAACAGTTCCTTTGGTTATAATAAATGTTCGTCTGCACACGCAAACTGCTCGGTTTTTAAAAGTCCATAAAGCGAAGCGTATAAACCTTGTGAAAAAAGATTGCGTAGATAAAGTATGTTAAAGGTAGAAAAGTACAGCGTTATCGATCAGCCTTGCACTGTTTGCACAGTCTCCAAGGGTGTTACGGTACGTTACCTTCACCAAAATGCCGTTCTGCGTATTCAATCGCTTTGGCAGGGTCGGTAAAGTGTTTTTCTTCTCCATTGTGTGTGACCCGTAGTTTCGCTGGGTACAGAAATCCGAAACGGACGCCTGGTTGATCTCGCAGTAAATTTTTCGCTTTGATAAAACGGGCACGCTGTTTCAGTATGGCTGGTGGGAGGTCAGGAAATATTAGAAGCTTTTCTCCCCTGAAAGTGATGATTTTTAGCTGTGCTGCTTTTCGGATGATGTCTTGCCATTCGTGACAATAATGCATCTTGACGACAAATGCCCGGGGATATGGAGTGTTATCGGAGCGATTCCTCAGGGATCTGTGAGCACGGTCGATCAAAGGCAGAGTTTCCAGAGAGAGCGCGTTCTTCAACAGGTGCGCGATAAAGTCCGTTGTTTTGTGCCCATCCTCTTCTCCTTCTTTAACATTAAGGATTCCCAAATTTTGCCTTCTACTGCGACTTTCCAGATCCGTACATTTTTCCGTAAGCTGTGTCAAGCTGCTTGTTAACCTCTCGACCTCTTTTTGTAATTGGGAAACCGCGTCAGAAGAAAAAGTTGCGCTGCGTTCAAGTTCAGCGATTGTTTTAGCTTGCTCGCTCATAGTATCTTTCATGGTGGAGATTGAGACATCCACTTCTTTCTTTATAGCCGTTAATTCTGCTCTGATAGAGATCGAGAACTGATGAATTTTTTTTTTTTTTTGATTTTTTTTTATTTCTGACTTGAATAGTACGAAGTTTGATTGTAGCTTAGCAATCCCTTCCAGAACTGCGTTGTTAGCCTCGGTGCTAATCTCATCGCTGCGATGAACTTGTATGTCCCTCGGGGTTTCGGTCGTCTGCTCTGTATTTTTTTTATTCCTGTTTGGCATCTTAGTCGAATATATAAAACACAGCTGTGTTGCAATAAAGTATTAGATAGTTTAGCTCGCAAATATCTTAAAAGTTGAGGAGCTGTTTTCACATGCGTCTTGCACTCACATGGCGTCACCCGGAAGTCCGTGCTACTGGAAGTTTTATAGACTGTAATTTTTTCATACTGTACCGTCCCTACTCTTCTCAACGAGCTGCGGGTGATGCTGTCAGCCCCTCCCCCACCTCAGAGCACTGACAGGTGGTCCAGACCTTGAGAGCAGCAGATCTCTCCTTTGCGTACTGATGGCAAATGATTTAGCACCGGCAGTGTGAGGTAAATTTGAAGACGCTGATCTTCTGAAGGCTCACATAATATCTCACGTCGCGGCAAGGTCTTTCATTTGTCCCCAGTGTGGAAAGAGTTGCGCTAAAAGATCGAACCTCATGGCGCTCTTGCGTATAGAAGCCATTCTGAAAACCCACATGAGGATCCACAACGGAGAGAAGCCGTTCAGCTGTCCTGACTGCGGGAAGAGCTTTAGGGTTTAAGGGAGCCTGAAGAATCACATCAGACTTCACACTGGAGAAAAGCCGTACACTTGTACGCAGTGTAAAAGGAGTTTCAGATATCATTTACAAACTCAGGATGAACACGATTCACTGTAAGGTTTGGAAAGCTACAATGGGGGAAATATGTTTTCTGAGAGAAATGGTGTCATGTTCAATATTTATTTCTGAAGGTGCTGTTGATTTTTAATTTTTCACCAGATGTTGATAACATCCAAATAAATCCAGATATGCAAATAAAACTAAACTAATTAGTTTACAAAGTTATGTGTAATGAAATTGAATGACACCGGGAAAAAGTATCGAACACATGAAGAAAGGGAGTGAAGGCCCAGACTGCAGCTGAAATCCCTCAGTAGTTCCTTGCCCTTTGTTTCTAATCACAGCCAAGGAAACTCTTAAATGTTTTTAGAGAAAGAAAATTAATCTGTAGAATGGCCCAGCCAATCACCTGACGCGAATCCAATAGAAAATACAAAATAAAGCTCAGATTTGATAGACGAGACCCACAAAACCATCAAGATTTTGACACTCTGTTGAAGACAAAATTGTCTCGTCGCCATCTGTCTGTCATATGCTTTCCCATTCAGTCCCATTCAAAATTCGACATGGACAGGCGATGATGGAAGAGTAGACTTCTCCTCATGGTAAGACTTCAAAATGGCACAATCAACTCACCATAGCTGTGCTGCATTCGTGACCGGAAAATGCCTGCAGATCGTTCCCTATTTGCGTGACCATGTCACATTTTTGACAAATGACAAACTTGTGTAAATAAAATTCTTGTTTATGTAATTAAAATATATTATTTAATCTATTTTTGTAAGAAGGTTGTTCAACCCTCCTGTGGTCTTAGAATTTTGTACACACCATAGGTCTCAAACTCAGTTCCTGGAAGGCCGCAGCTCTGCACAGTTTTGCTCAAACCCTGATCAGACACAGCTGATGCACCTAATCAACACCTTGATTAGTTGGATCGGCTGTGTTAGAATAGGGTTGGAGCGAGACTGGGCAGAGCTGCGGCCCTCCAGGAACTGCGTTTAAGACCTATGGTGTACATGATGCGCCTTCATTAAACTTTTCAAATAGTAGTCGTTTTTCTGGTGTAAAAATGCTTTTAAAGTTGGCAGGTGAAATTCCACCCATAAGTTTAACAAATTGATTAATCCCACAAAGGACAACTAAATTAGGGCAGTAGCCTACATACACAATCACACAATAAAGAATATTTAAAAGCACATCCCAGCATGATTAATAATACATATAAAAATATAATAATAATCGTTAAAAAATTAAAAATTTAAAATAAAAACATTAAAAATCAAAGCTTAAAGCTTATCTGTTAGATGAACCTTTGATGCATCTGAATGTTTTTCCAAAAAGCAATAGTTTAAAATCTCCTTTTACAATTAAATTTTCCTCATGTAACCGCTAGACTCCTAACTAAGCTCTGAAGGTGATTTCTAAGACAACCATCTACCCTAAATGTGTACAGTCTTCATGAAAGTAGAATGGAAGATTGTTGATTTTATCCTTTGATGAAGGTCTTTTATACTGTTCCTTGCTGCATTTGTAACAATTTTAATTAATTAAATTTATTTAATGATAAGCATGCCTTGCGATGTTGATTGATTCCCTGTTTTGTCAAGTAAAGTTTTTGCAACAATAAAAAAATATTGTTGATTTCAGTGTCATTTTAGGAAAAAAAAAGTCACAACATTTAGAGTTAAAGTTGTTTATATATATATATATATATATATTTATTGTCTGCTGTTAAAATTGTGACCGGATCGTTTTGAAGTCAACATCAGGCTTAAACATGATTTTAGACATTGTGAGCGGGACTTTTATTTTGGTATTTTCATATGACATGATAAGTCCGCGCCGCGTTTCTGTTGTTATTCTGACTCGGCTGGAGAAAGGTTTGTGATTCAAGCATTTAAGCGGGTTTTAGCTATGAAAATCCTATAACCATGGCGCTCTTATAGCAAAAGTGTAGTGTCCACAGTCTTAAACGTTTTAAGACCATTTATAAGACCGCAATTGACGTAGTGTAACTTAGCAAAACCACCGTTACTTTGTGGTTGCTGTGTTTTGACTACAATATGGTTGTGGTTTTATTATTTATAGTAAGTTAGAACCATGGTTATTTTTAGTAAGGGATAATAATTGAGGTAAAGTTGGTTTTATTTTCGCACATTCGTTCAGTGGTCCCAATATTGTTTACCATGATGCTTTGAATATTTGTATTGAATTCACATGCAAGCATGACTTGAAAACAACATTAGCACTATTTAATTGACTGTGAATGTTGTACTTTGATAGTCATTTGCTGCTAATATGATTTTACTACTTATATTTTGCAAATAATACTTTTCTAAAATTATATTATTAAGGAGAAAGTCAAAATGTGCGAATGTAAACTCTAAACAGGGAAATCATACTATCAGCAAATCACTATCAAAGTACAAAATTGTTAACAGTCAAATAAATAGTGCTAATGTTAAGTCATGCTTGCATGCGATTTCAGACCCAATATTTAAAGTACCATGGTAAATAATTTGGGGAACTTTACCTCAATCTTTATCAAACTCTTATTGATTTTACCTTGTGAATCACAGCGTCTCTTTCTCTACAACGTGAATCAGTTTATTCTGATTATTAATTCAGTCACTGTATAAACAATGAAATAAAACAGAGATCTTTGAAACTCAGAGTCAGTTGTTAAACATAATTTACATGTTAGTATGTATGATGAAATGAATTTACAGTTTTTGTCTAATGAGGAGATCAACTCCCTCATTAATGCCCAATACTGAAGTAGAGAGATTACATTAAATTAAATTAGCATTTATTCTTCTTTCTGTTATTTAGTTTATCCAAAAATGAAATTTAACCAAACCTGTTTCTTTCTTATGCTGAAAAAAAAAACAAATCCTGACAAGCTGGACAGTTTATGGTTCCCATTGACTTCTAAGTAAAAAAAACAAAAACTTTTTAGGTTAAGGGAGACTGTCAGCTTTTAAGTTATTATAAATGTATTTGCTTGTTTATATTTATATGCATTTATATTTTTGGTCAAGCTAGCTCTTCATTTACTAGTTAATCATTCTCATTTTTAACAGGAAAAATGTCTCCAAAATCCAAAAGCTCCTGCTGAAGTGACTGATCTTCATGTGAAACACTGTTATAAAGATGGCGCTTGTTAAAGAGGAGTGTGATGACGTGAAGATTGAAGAAGTAATAATTAAGCAGGAAGATCTGGAGGAGCAAACAGGTTGGTTTTTATTCTCAAAACATGTAATCTGTTGAGTAAAAGACACATTATTTTCATCTACAGTGCATATATATCTTTATATACAGCAGTTCTGTCTGGTTTTCGAATCTGATTGGTTGATAGCTGTGATATATTTAATTAATATGAGCATCCGTACAGCCTGTTTACCCTTTGTGTATTACTCCGCCCACATACAGCCAGCAACAAGCGGACACTACAGTTTGACAAATATTACTGCAGTTAGACAACAAAATATACTTTTGAGGCTGTTTTAGTCGAGGATGTAGTTGTTTAGATTGCAACTATGCAGTTTATTTGCAAGAATAGTGCCTATTTTAAAATATTTACAATTTCTGAGAGATCTGGTCGACGGCCATGGTGTAGACCAAAGACGGTTGATGCTTTCCATCCACAAGATGGCGACAGAGCCCTTACGCTTAGAAGCTGATAACAGTCTGATTTCGAACTACAGCAGATCAAATCAATTTTAAACTGGTAAGCACACCCGCCAACACTTTTATTTTACTTGGGAGTATCCCGTATTTCAGAGCAGTCTCCCGCAACCGTCCCGTTTCTATCTCTTCCTAAAAAACTCCCGTAATTTCACCCACCCCCCTCTTTGGTATAGGCTGTAAACACCCCCGGGTTGCAAACTTTGGTACAGTACCCGAACAAAGCGGCCGCCCAAAACTCGCTGCATCCTATTCCAGTTCTCAACAGTGTAATTCACCCCCGATCACCCCCTCCTACCTGGTCTCCCGGGTTTTCAGAGACATGTTGGCAGGTTAGATGATCGCTCACTTTTGTATGTTGTAGTGCTGCATTTATGCCGATTTGCTCACATATCAGGAATGCGTGTTGTGTTGGCAGATTGAAATAAGCAAAGTCCGCACGTGTTTAGCGGCTTTCCTTATCGAAAACACAACAGCAGTCCGGTAGTGATTGTGTTGCTTTTTTCGGGTTTAACTATTGTGAAATCCCGATTGCAACAGAGAAATACTGTAGCCTGTAACGCTGTAAGAAGATATCTCTGTAGACGGATGGCATTTCATGTTATTGTTCAGCCTTATAATCTTAAAGTGAACAAAATCAGCTGCTTTGTCATCACTTTAGATAGAGAATCATTCAAACACTAGCTCTAAAGTGACGTTGGTGAATTAGTAACGGCTTCTGCTGTTCTGACGTCAGCTGCACATGTGAATGAATGGCGGAAGAAAGTAGCTCCTAATAAAAAAAAGGGTTTTTAGACTCTCTGTGTTTGATTTTCTTATTTATTTACATGATTGTGCAGTTGAACTGTTGCATAAACGCAATATCACACTCGTAGCAGTGCGATATGGCTGTATATCAGCACGGGCTAACGCACGCCTCCCACCCATGCTAATATACAGCCATATCGCACTGCTACGAGTGTGATATTGCTCATTATATATATATATA